CGGAGAGAGAAGAGCAAAACCAAACTAGCATCAGCAAAAATTCAACCCTTCCGGCATTATTATGTATATCGCATACAGCCCTAAACCATATCTGGTTCAACTTTCAGAGTGTTTCAAATATGAAATATTTTCACCTTAAATTACATGACATTCTAGTAATACCTTTTATGCTCATGTACCAATACATCTAACCATTAGCTGGATTCTCCTAGCCGTTATAGTTTGAAGGCATTGTCCATCAATCATATCTTTCATCAACCTGTTTATACAGTAGGTTATGTGGTGACAAAGACAGAGAGCATGCATAAGACAAGTTTCTTTAATGTAATAACCTATTATAATAGCTGTTGCAGTGACTACTTAGTGTACCACATTTCACAGAGAAAATTATTTTATATCAAATGAAATTAATTGCTTTTTATATATTATTACAAAACTATCATGTTTATTATTACAAGACTATCATGTTTATCTAAACTGCTATCTTTCTTGATTATCTGCTGTGTAGGAGCCATTCAAAGTTGGGGCAAACAGTGGGGATGAGCTTGTCATAGGTGGAAGTGATACCTGTCCAGGCTGCTCCCAGGTGGCACAACCAGAGGACACCCTCTGTCAGTCGTAGTATGTGGTATAAGCTTAAGATTTGGATAGGATTCTTCAGCCTGCCTGAGATGCTGGTTTCCCCAATGTTATGTCAAAGAAGTCTTATTAAATTAATTATGTAAATCTCTGTCAGCAATATCGTCTTTAGATGGGTCTGTGATTACATAAAGCAGATTGCCCTCTCCTTCAATCAGCACTCTGACAAATAAAACACTATGTAGGTTTCTAGAATAGTTGTTAAATGTTCAGTCCAGAATTCTCAAGTGGACATTGTGTTTTCTAAGTGTTGAAGTAACACGGGCCTGGAAATTGTCTGCTATTAGAAAGCACAGTCAGAATTCCCCATGTATATCACAGGCCAAATTCTGAAAGAGCTCTAAAGCAACCCTTAGTTTTTTTCATTATGCATTTCACGCAATTTTGGGTACTCTGACATCCTGATCAGCGTTCGTTAATACTTTGAAATGCTTTAAATCGCCTTATTTAAAATATTTTGTTCTGTGACTCACAAATGACTAACATTTGGAGAAGTTTACCTAATATAAAATGTGCATGTTTAGTGCAAATGAAAGATTAAAAAATGAAACTAAAATTATGCAAGTATTTGTATGCAAATATTTGCATACAAGAAGCAGAGATTTCACACCTTTTTTTCCTTTAAGCTGTTTCCAATTGTATTTAATTTGGGATCTCATATAATATCATGTTTTCGAGGTAAATAAAATCACCCAAGTGCTTGGGCATGTTTTGAACTTGCTGATTTGCTACTTTGTTCAGACAAAAGCTTTTCTTACCAGATCTGATAAAGTGCTCATCTTTGCTCAGTTAGGGCAATGAATGGAGCAATATTGTCAAGGACCTCAGTGACCTAACTTTTATCCTGGGGTGAAAGACGTTTTGGAATTACCATTATATTTTGGAAATGAGCTAAAATTGCAAAATATGTTTCATATTTTAACCATAATCTAGTTTTTCTTCTTACAGATGTTTTATTATATTTTGGAAATATGCTAAAATTGCAAAATATGTTTCATATTTTAACCAGAATCTAGTTTTTCTTATGACAGATGTTTTTATGTGTACATTTTAAAACTACAGCCACAGTCATTTATAGTTGTTCATAATACAGGACTTGCTAACTATGAAGTTACCCAAATAGTTATTTGAAGAGAATCACCATAGTAACTGTCATATTCAGTAGCACCTACATTATCTGTAGCAAACATCTTTTAGGAGAAACTCACTTGGCAGTGTATTACAATACAATGTGTTTTGGGGGAAAGGATCCTGTAGTCAATTGTGACATGTGAGACCATTTTATGGTATTCAATAACGAAGCATAGATTTATAACCATTCTTATTTTAGCTTTTATTATTCTTTTTAAAATATATATTTTATTTATTATGCTATGACAGTTGTCCTAATTTTTCCCTTTTGCCCCACCTCCACCTGGTAACCCCTTCCCTCCAGCAATCCACCCCCCTTAATTCATGTCCGTGGGCCATGCCTGTAAGTTCTTTGCCTTCCCCAATTTCCTATACTGTCCTTAATATACCCCTGTCTATTTTGTATCTACCAGTTATACTCCTTAATCCCTGCACCTTTACCCCCATTCTTTCCCTACCGCCTCCCAACCGATAACCCTGCAAATGAACTCCATACCTATGATTCCGTTCCTGTTCTGGTCGTTTGCTTAGTTTCTTTTTTTGTTTGTTTGTTTTTTAGATTCAGTGATTCAGTTGTTGATAGTTGTGAGTTCATTGCCATTTTAATATTCATAGTTTTGATCTTCTTCTTTTTCTTAAATAAGTCCCTTTAACATTTCCTGTAATAATGGTTGGGTGATGATGAACTCCTTTAGCTTTACGTTGTATAGGAAGCACTTTATCTGCCTTTCTATTCTACATGATAGCTTTGCTGAATAGAGTAATCTAGGTTGTAGGTCCCTGCTTTTCATGACTTTGAATACTTCTTGCCAGTCCCTTGTTGTCTGCAAAGTTTCTCTTGAGAAATCAGCTGACAGTCTTATGGGGATGCCTTTGTAGGTAACCCTCTGCTTTTCTCTTGCTGCTTTTAAGATTTCTCTTTATCTTTAACCTTTGGCAGTTAAATTATGATGTGTCTTGTTGTGTTCCTCTTGGGGTTCAACTTGTTTGGGATTCTGTGTGTTTTCTGGACTTGTCTATTTCCTTCACCAAATTAGGCAAGTTTTCTTTCATTATTTTTTCAAGTAAGTTTTCAATTTCTTCCTCTTCTCTTTCTGGTGTCTCTATAATTCTGATGTTGGTACATTTGGAGATATCCCAAAGACTCCTTATACTATCCTCATTTTTTAAAAATTCTTTTTCTTTTTTGCTGTTCTGATTGAATGCTTACGTCTTCCTTGTGTTCCAAATTTTTTATTTGAATCCTGGCTTTATCACCTTCGCTGTGGTTCCCTGTAGATTTTTTTTAAATGTTACTTAGTGTAATCTTCCTTTTTTCCTAGGTCTTTTTTTGTTTGTTTGTTGCCATACTTAATGAGTTCTTTGAGCATCCTGATCACAAGTGTTTTGAACTCTGCATTTGATAGCTGGTTATCTCTATTTTGTTTTGTTCTTTTTCTGGGGTTTTGTTCTATTTTTTTATTCAGGCCATACTTCTTTGTCTCCTCAATTTGGCAGCCTCCCTGTGTTTGTTTCTGTGTATTAGGTAGACTCCCTGTCTTAGTAGTATGGTCTATTATAGAAAAGACACCTATAAATTGTGTGGGGTGGAGCCTAGGTAATTGCTAGGGTGGGGCAACCCACTTCACTGCTTTGTGGCTGTGCAGGGAGGGCTTGAGAAGTGACAGTGCCATTGACTGGCTTCTGGAGGTTTGCCTGGCACTCACCCTGTGCGACTGGTGCCCTTCCAGCTTTTGCCCTGGTGCTGAATCCCAGAGGGGTGGGTGTGCATATGTTTTCAGTCCATGCAGGCCCTTTAAGTGGAGTCTCCTGAAAATCTGGCAGTTTCTACCCCTGCCCCAACCGCCACTCATTTTTACAGCCAGAAGTTATGGGGATTTATCTTCCTGATTCTGGAACCCTGAGCTGTGGGGTCTGGCTTAGAGCTGGGATTGCTTGCTCCCAAAGTATCCCTCCCAACTTTTATCCACCACATGTGAATGTAGAGCCACCCATTCTGCTGCTGCCACCTCTCCACACCACGCCGGGTCTCATCTCCACACTTTGCTGCCTGTCTCTGCGTCTCCACCCCATCCACCTCTCTACCCCTTCTACCCGTCTGGAAGAATGTGGCTTTAAATCCTTGGTTGTCAGACTTCCTTACAGCTCAATTTTCTGACAGTTCTGAGTGTTATTTGTTTTGAGGTCAAGTTATAATTCTTTCTGTGGTTGCATGAGGAAGTGAAGTATGTTTTCCTACACCTCCATCTTTACTGGAAGATTTGTAACCATTGTTAAAATACTGGTTTCCTTTTTCCTCTCTACATGTACTTTTTCTCCAAGCCCAGCTAGAGTTTTTAAGTAAAATAAAAATGAAAAAAAAGTTAACTGAGAATTCAGAGAACTTACAGAATAAGGAGGAAGTCACACAATCTTTAGGGATCATTTTATTTGTACCACTCTGAGACTGGGCTTTTGTAGGGCAGAGAAGAGAGATGGGCAGTGCTCTGGAGCCAAATGTTGACCAAAATTAACTGCAATATTAACTCCTCTTAGACTATGTATCTTCCTATTTGGAATTCTTTCTTTCTTTCTTTCTTCCTTTCTTTCTTCCTTTCTTTCTTTCTTTCTTTCTTTCTTTCTTTCTTTCTTTCTTTCTTTCTTTCTTTCTTTCTTTCCTTCCTTCCTTCCTTCCTTCCTTCCTTCCTTCCTTCCTTCCTTCCTTCCTTCCTTCTAGATTTTATTTATTTATTTTTAGAGAGAGGGGGAGGGAGGGAGAAAGACAGGGAGAAAAACATCGATGTGAGAGAAAACACGAATTGGTTGCCTCTCATAAGTGCCCCAGCTGGGGACAAAATCCACAACCCAGACATGTGCCCAGACCAGGAATCCAGGAATGAACCAGTGACCCTTCACTTTGTGGGACTACACCCAACTGAGCCACACCAGGCAGGGCCTGTTTGGAATACTTTAAATTAAAGATCAAATGTGTGTGTGAACTTTAGTTTAAAACTACTTCAATCTAAGTTAACTAAATGGAATACCTTGGATGTTTGTCTATATGATACACACACACACACACTACTTTTGAAATATTCCTCCACCACTCAAGTTACTTAGGTTTAGTCTCGTCATAAATATTATTGGAAACCAAAACTTGAAACATCTATTAGCATCACTAATGCTGTGCTTGAAGATTTTTCAAGAACAACTCTCTCTCTAATGATATATGTTCTCTCTTCTTGTTTTAGCGATACAGTGTGGAAATGTCCATCAGGGACCTGAAAAAGAGAGAGCTGCTTAGTAAGGTTGAAGCTTTGAAGAAAGGTGGCGTTTTACTACCGAATGATCTCCTTGAAAAAGTGGATTCAATTAATGAAAAATGGGAACTGCTTGGGGTATTTGCATTTTTATTACCGTTTGTAGGTTATGTGTACATTTTTTTTGTGCAGTGAAGTACTCTATCTGTCTGATTTCTAATCTGAGGCACAAATATCTCTCTCTTTCAATTCACTACCTACATTTCAAACAAGCTATTCATGCTATTTTGGGGGGAAACACTGCTTTTCCTTTTCTGTTGATTTCTTTTTACTCTCAGCTTGTCTCCTCTCAGATTTTAATAATTTTGGTTCTTTAATACATAAAAAGTAAGTAAAATATGCCATGTATTATGGGTATGCACCAAGTCAACTATAATACAGTATATCTGATATACACTGACTGTCATGCTTGAATGAATGTTAATAGAATTTATTCTGAAGGTACATGTTAGAGACATCCCCTGTTTAACTATTTAATGTACCCTTCAGATGAAAAGTGGAGTTGTCACTACAGCTTTCAAGTCACACTAAGCCACCAAAACAAAGATGCAGATTTGACTCACATCTGAATTGCACAATTAAATTGGCCTCTGTTTTGTGCCTCAATTTCCAGCTCACTTTTAACAAAAGCCAAAAAAAAAAAAAAGTTTCATGTAATTCATTTCATGCAATGATGGGCTGGGTCTCAGCCAAAGACTGAGATGCAAGAATCTGGCAAAAAGGCAATAGAGAGGTTCTGTTACCCAGAGACCAGGATGGCACTGTGCAGGAGACAGCACTGTCCTTTTGTTGGAAGACAGCTGAGAGGGAGAGGTTAAACTGTATTTTTGTCATCAACTTCTCTCCTAAATTGCCTTCACTTCAAATCAAGGGTAAGCTAAATTTGTCAATTACTTAAATGATTAATTATAAGAGCTAAGTATGGATGGTGTCAGTTATGGAGCCTAATTCTGCATGCCTTCCATTTCCTGCCTTTTCTTAATTTTTAAAGAAATAATACTCCAAAAATATTTTGAATAAAAAGCTCTCCATGTACCTTGATGACTTGGAGGAATGCCAGTGTTCAGTTTCTGCCATGCTTAATCTGGGTGATTAAACAACTGCACGTTTAAATCCCTGCTTTCTCATCTGAATTCACTACACTCTGCAGTTGTGCAAAGTAACTTAAAATGTTAAAAGTTTTTACTCTGACCTATTGTTACATTACTCTTTAATAGTAATTAATGGCTTTCACATTATCATATGGCGATTTCAATCAGAATTTACTAAATTCTATAGAATGCATTGATCTCATACAGAAGAAATGTGGCTAGTGTGTGACATTTTAAAAGTTATTTACTGAATGAGAACAGCAACTTTATGTGCTTAACAGATAAAGTGATAGTCTGTTTATATAGAAATAGAACTATTGTTTCTAATTTGATAAATAATTAACAGTAATCTTTTTGAAAATTGTTTAATGTCACGTATATTGCTTTCTCAGCAAAACATTTAAATCAACATTACATTGAAAAAACAGAATATTTAGCTATCATTTATGAGTCAGATGCCTTAAAATGGTTGCCATTTTGACAAAAATATAACTTGAATACAGTATGCAGAGTTTTGTAATGATTTCGGGAGAGGGAAGGGTGGAGGAAAGGCTTGAACAAAACCTGTGCCACGCTAACACCACCAGGCATACTTTAATTGGCATGATTACATTTTAATTGGCATGAAAAAAATTTAAAGACAAGGATTTTAACTTCTAACAATAGTAAAATAGAGGGATATGGTTTTTAATATTACTTTCATCTAAGGTGAACAGTGTGGAATGGAAATACATTAGAATGAAATGTCAGTGGTGCGTACAGTTTAATCTGTGAAATTTTGTCCCCTGTGCTGCATATTACTCTGTCTCAATTGCATATTAAACAACCCTATCAAGGCAGCATTGGCATCTGCTGTGCTGACACAAATTGTGAATTAAATGAAATTGATGTCCTCTGTCGTATATTTATGAAGACGGACCATTCTCTGAAGTATTCTGTTTATGAAGAATTTATGATTGCAAACTGTTCCAGAACAAAAAAGTGGCAATAAATTCTTTTTTGTGATCCTATCCTCCAAGGGCATTGATTTCACCTCCTGCTGCTACTTTTGTTACAGCATAAAAACAATAGCTAAATCTGGATTCCACTGAGGGCCTTCAAATTATCAATATTTGCACCATGAAAGTATAAGGGTGTTGGCAAGAAAGGCTATTTTTCTGTTATGATCTCCTAAAGACACTATTTACAGAACACTACACAGCAGACAAACATTTGTTGACTTTATTTTATTTGTGTTGTAAAGCTTATTTTTATAGATTTAATTAATCGTTATAGATTAACTCCTACTGATTCTCCAAAGAGTGTTTTCTCCAACAACAACAAAAGGCCTCCCTGATTATACCTTCATGACATAGTAGTTAATCTAAGAAGGCTCCTAGCATAGCGGATTGGGACTTATTTTAACACATATGTTGGGAAGGCTAGCGTCCACAAATGCAAAATGGGAAGAATTGCGGGGCTGAACACTTTCCAAGTCAGGTAAAATCAACAACATCACAAAGGAGGTTATCCCATCTTAACAGCCCTCAGTCATATGGTTTAGTGAATCATACTAAAAACAAAAAGGAACTTAATTTTCCATGCACAGTCTTCTCTCAGCCTCTTTAGTATATTGATTAAACTCAGACTTTTATCTCCTGAAAATTTTATACAGAGAATTTTTTACTATAAACTCCCATCATGAGAATTCAAATGAATTTTTATCAGTGACCATGGTGAACTTTTGGGTCAAATCTCCTTTCTGTTACAGGAAATTATAAGTGAATGAGGTCTTCCTAAGCCTCTAGTGGTAGTCAGAACAAAACACATTGCTCAAGAATTCAAATCCTAAATGGGGCAATGAACTAATCTGGATTGAATGTTAGCTGTGAGGTGGCAGGCATGGCTGGACACCTTCTAGTTGGTTCTTGTTACCAGCCAAACTGTGATATGTTTTGGTACCTAAGCTAATCTATGTTTCTATTTTTTGTTGGCGTTTTTTGTTTTTGTTTGTGTTTTTGTTTTTGTTTCCAATTTGCTGCATTAGAAAACCCTAGGAGAGAAGATCCAGGACACAATGGCAGGGCACAGTGGGTCGGGCCCACGTGACCTGCTCTCTCCTGAAAGCGGAAGCCTGGTAAGGCAGCTGGAGGCCAGGATCAAAGAGCTGAAAGGGTGGCTAAGAGATACAGAGCTTTTCATCTTCAATTCCTGTCTGAGACAAGAAAAGGAAGGAACAATGAATGCTGAGAAACAACTGCAATACTTTAAGGTAATAAAAAAACAATCAAACTTGATAAAAAGCTTTCTTTATGGTAGGGATGAAATATTTATCAAGTACATAAAGTATTATACCCATGTATCTATGTATCACGGTGCACTTAAATGTTTCCTTGAATTTATAGACACCCTCCACATTTCTTATATGCCAATGCCTTGTGTGTATAAAGATGAACATTAAGCATATCAAATACACATTGTATAGGGGAAATCTCTGCTCCTTGTGTGTTGTGTGTAATGCCTGTGGAGGAAGGGCTTTGATAAATTAAAAGCAGACCTAAAGATGAGGACTTTGAAAGGCAGACCTAAATGCTCTATAAATAATGTGGCTAAAAATACTTCCATAAATTGATATGATAAAAGCACATGATTTAACTGAAGACCATTAATGCTCACAAAAGGAAACATAATTTTTACATATGAAAGAATCAACTATTCATTGAGGGAAGAAATAAAGTAAAAAAGGTCCCTACATTATAGGCATCTTCCATCGTAGACAAATGCCAACCTTAGCAACGCAGCTGTGTGTGTTCACTGTATGTCCTTGAAGAAGTATGTCCCCTGTTTGTTTCCATGGTCTTCACAATATCTATTCAAAAGCAGTTTAAAATTCAAATGTTTTCTCTTACTGCTCTTGCTAGCCTGTGCTGTTTGAATCCTCTCATAAAGGCAGTGATTATTTGGGCTCTGACTGGTGTCAGCCTGAGGCTTTGGAGTTATAGAACATGAATTCAGTAACAAGAAACCTTCTGACGTGAAAGGTCTTAAAGAGAAGAAAGGGGAGAACTAAGAAAGAAAGAATTTTTGGGGACCAAGCAACTGTTTCTTCTTAAGGCCTCCTGGGACCAGGTCTTATTTATTTCTCGCCCACTGCCTGCAGCCCTGCAGCAGTAGATCAGGGAATGTAGTCGTTACCCCACGTGGCCCGCCCTCCCTCTGCCAGGCAGGCAGGGTCACCTTGCTCACTGGCATAGTCCAAGAGAAAGCAACCTCAAGGGTAAGGTCACAATGTTTGCCAATTAACTGTCTGTATTCCACACGCACAAAATACTTTGGTTGAAAACCACCTCTCCTGCCATTGAATTGACAAGACCGAACTGGAAGTTATATAAATGCCTCTCACCAAGTCTTCTGCTGTCTAAAACCTAATATCCAGATAATTTGTTATTTCATCTCTCCTTGTCCCACCCTCATCTCTGTTGCAGGGAGGTGATGGAGTCTTCAGATATTCCCCTCGGTGTTATTTGTTATTTGAGATTAATAACTTGTACCTTTTAAAGCATCCTGGTCATTAGTAGGCAGGATGTTGTGAAGTATGTTTTTTCTCTGTAGTATCTGTATTGCAGCTTTAGTGAACTGGTTAGTGGCCCCAGCCAGTTGTCTAATCTTGGTCATGTTTCTTGTATGATCCCTTGGTGCCTCAATTTCTTTATCTAAAAATTGGGATGCTGCTAGTATTTATCTCACACAATGATGAGTTCACATAATTAAATTATTATTTCTACTTTTTGTACTGGTGCATTCATAAGAGATAGAAATATCTTAACGTAAACCCAAAAATGTTTACATAATAATAGGAAACAATAATAGGAAGTTTGCTATTGTAGATATTTATATACCTACATTCCTACCCACATATCTCATACATAGGTATTTGAAAACAACTTTTTTTCACATTTTCTATTATTAAAAACGAAAGCATGAGCAGCTCTACATTAATTTTGCTAATGCTTCCAAAGGACATTAGCTTTATGCTTCAGCTTTGCACAGTTTGTCAACATCATTTTGAGCCAGGTCCTATTAATAAATTTCAAAGAGTCTAAGAGACAGAGAGAGAGACAGAGAGACAGAGTCTCTCTAGACTTCTGATCATTAGTTAGCTCCTGGGAGTCCTAGTTATTTGCTAACATTTTCTAACCATAAGGGAAATATTCACTACACCTAATTCATTATTTACCATGTGCATCTTAGTGCCTGAAAATAATCATAGATTTTCATTTCAAAAGTACCAGAGATTACTCCATGCTTTTTGCTATTTTACTTCTACAGGGATATTTTTCCTTAGAGCATTTTTATATTTTTATATCACTATTTATTAAACTAACTGCTCTTATACCCCAATCTTACTTATTTAGCTATTTTAAAAATAATATAATAAATTCAGAGACTTTCCTACCCCAAACAAAAGGTAGGATCTTTATGGTTTCCCCAGTCCTGCTCCATCCTCTCCTCCTCTCACCTGAGGTAATCATGTTCCTGAGCCCCATGTTTATTATTCAACTTGCCTTCCTTTGATAGGAAATGATATTTTAATTGCAGTTGTCTTTAACTTTTTAAAAAGATATCATCCTGTATTATTTTCAGGACTTTCTTTTTAATTTAATATTATGATGCCGATATTTGTCTATGTTACCGAGGATGGCCATAATTCACTTATTTTGACAATTGTATAGTATTTCATTGTGAGTATATGCATGTATCTCATTTAAGGATAGCAACCTCTGAAATTGGTGTTAGGATCCTGATTCTGGAGATATGGAAAGAGGCACATGAAAGTTAAGTTTTGTATGTCCAATGTCACTTACCATGAGTGCCAGAGTTAGGTTTTAAATCCAGAGCTGTTTGACTCTAAAGCCCATTCTCTGAAATACTAGGCAAAATTAATATTTATTGATATTTATTGAATGCCCTTCTATGCAGGGTGACTCAAAAGGAATAACAAGAAAAAACTAGATGGCATTGTTGCTTTCTGGTAGTTTTATCAGCCACAATCATCAGCAGTTTAACCGGAACTGTAAATAGCTTTAGCTATTGAAGATTTTGAAAGTTAAAAATATTTGCGTTTTGTTTTATACTTTTGTACTATATCAGTGTAAATTTCTTTGCCATGTGTTATTTTTTAAAATGGAAACTTTTCAAACTTTCTTTGAGATTATGGAGCTCTGATGATTTTTCTTTATGATCAGAAACTCTAGTCCCTTCTAAAATTTTTACCTTGAGGAGTTTGATCAGATAATCTAAGTGGATCTAACATGATAACATTTCTTTTTAAAGACAGTTTTATGCATATCTGTTGGAATAAATGTCTTCTCTAACCAGAATTTTAAATATTCTGAGCTGTTTACTCTTTAGCACTTAGTGTGTGATTAACCAAGTGTTCTATATATTACCACATTCATTGGAAGAACGAAAACAAATGTTTGTAATACACTAATAATGTAATGCTTATAACCTGTCAAAATCATAATTGGTAAGCATATGCAGAGTAAAAACTTTTTACTTACTACAAATTCAAAGAACAGATACTCTCTGCCTTTCCTAGTGATAAAGCCTCTCAGATAAGAGAGTTATTAAGGAACCTTTACATGTGGAAAATTGTTGCCATGTTCCACCTTTTCTTGATGGTTCCCAAATATCTCCTGTCATTGGTCACACAGAGGACAGGCTTTATCTACAGGGTTTATTTAGCTTTATGATTCTTCATTCTCTGAAATCTTAGGCTTTTACGAGAGATAAGCCCCAGTGCACAGCCCAGGGAGAGCAGGGAGGAAGGGTGGGCGCTGAATATGAAAAGGAAAACCCATTGTTTTGTAAACACAACTGTTTCCTTCTCAGAGTTTGCTTTGGGATGAGAGAAAGGATCTAGACCTTAAGTTTTCAAAAAAAAGAGGAAAAGCAATTGTAGAATGTATTCTTTTACTTTAAGGCAGTAAGTGCGATAAATGTGGAATTAGACACAAGGCAAAAGCCTATCTAGGAAAGAAAGGCAAGCCCCGCACAGGGAGAGACATGAAGGTACGAACCTAACAGCCTTGGGACAAAAATACAAAATTCTCAAGGAGAGAACACACCATGACAACAGAACGGGGAGAGCACATGAGAGATTTAATGAGACAGCTGGCAAAGCTGCGTGCAGCTTAATGCCATTGGCTGGAAAGTACTACTTTTTAGTGATGACTAGAGAGAAAATAAAATAATTACTTAATCATATGTTCCTTGTATTTCATAACCAAATTCATTAATTTAAAGACTCAGATCGAGAGAACTTATCCACTACCAGCTAAAGAAGGCAGAAGCGCTAGACTGGGCCTAGACCAGCCCAGGGAGGACAAGGTTCGACCTCTGGAGAAGCTTGGTAACCAGGGACGTGAATGAGCGGAATAGATTTGGCAACCTCATCAATGATTAATGTCCCAAATTTGCTTAGCAATTTAAATTTGACCAAGAACTTTTATGCTTGTTATGATACTTAAACCTTACACTAATTATGTAAGTTGAAAATTCTGAACACCTTCTTAGGTGTATTTTTATTTATTTTTATGAATGAAGACTTGAGATGTGGAAAGTTAATGTGACTTGTTTGAATCCACACAGAAACCAGCAGCAAAGACAGAGCAAAAACAATGGTCTTTGGTTCCAAATTCCAATACTCTGCCACTCCGTCATTCACTAAGCCTTCAAAAATAAACATTGAAACCTCGTTTTACTCTAAATCAAGTGTTAGCAAACATTGTCGGTAAAAGGCCAGCTAATATAATCTCTGTTGCAATTACTCAACTCTGCTGTTGTAGTGTAAAAGCAGCTATAGACAATATGTAAGTGAATAAATATAGTGTGTTTAATAAAACTAATTTACAAAGCTATTTACAAAAGCAGGCAGTGGGCAGGACTTGGTCCATAGGCCTTACTGTGCTGACCCGGCTCTAAGTTACAAAAATCATCATCAACGTGAGGGTGGTTACTGTCTGAACTGCCTTGAAGGAAAAGAGGTTATACTAGAATTGCATTTGGAGGAACAAAATATTTCATTTAACAATGAAAACTAATACTTATAGAGTGCTCACAAGACATAAGTCACAGTTTCAAAATGTTTTACTTGCATTTGCTTATTTAATCCTCATCATGATCCTCCGGCAGGCCTAAAGATAAGAAAACTGCGGCAGGGAAAACAGAAGTAAGTCACTCAAGATCATACAGTTAGTGATTGAGTCA